TATATATATATATATATATAGACAGAGAAATTAATACATCAGAAACCGAAAGCGTTGAAAGGTGAGAAATTGTGATATGAAAACCGCATAATTTCATATGCATAAGCACCCCTGTGGCACAACGGAATGTTTGCGGACTTACAACGCTAGAAACCGGGTTCCGATATCCGTAGTGGGCAGAGTACAGATAGCCCATTGTGTAGCTTTGTTCTTAACTTCAAAACAAACAAACAAACAAATCGTATATATAAGAGGTGCGTAACCATGACAATATTGTCTACACGGTTAAACTATTTATACACCAAATTCCTCATGGATGTAAAAATATCAAGCATTGCATCTAACCTCATTAATTACGACTGGGGAAAGAGAATTTCACGACTATCAAAGAAGAAAGCAAAAACTTACTTGATTTGTAAGAGTACAACTTTATCTTTTAGATCACATTTAAATAATCTTCCGATCAGTATTTGGAAACGCCATATAATTTGTCTGTTTCAGAATTTACGCGCAAAGCTACACAAAGTTAACTGCGGATAGCCGATCCAAATTTTTTACGTGACAGACTAGAAGGATGGCAGTTAGCCAACAGTGCCCAAGGTCAACTCTTAGGCTATTTAATTTGACATGAAAGCGTTGGTAAACTGTTTGTTTTAAAATGTACTAAGTAACAGAGAAATATCCTTCTTTCTCATTTCAACAGCATTGTTTTCATAACGTATGCTTTAATAAAATACTATGATGTGATTTAAACCAGCTATCCAGAACTGAGACGGAAAAATAATGTAAATCATAATAATATCTTGATACATTGTTAAATCACAATCCCTGAAAACTAGTTTCTCTAATACCAGTCTTCTGACAGTTTGTTCCGTTTACTGTGGTTTTTCACTAATTGCTATACACGATACTGTGTTCTTTTATTATTGTTACATTGCTACATTATAATACCACAGTTTGTGTTAAATTTGACTCGTCGTCTTAACGACTAACCAACCTGTTTTATATAGAAAAGCGTCCTTGTAAATAAAGAAAAAAAAATCTGATGATGGGAAAAGAAGCTAAAAGCAGTCTCTTAACTACAGCTTGACAGAAGTGTCTTTCATTAGTTTAAGTGGGCTCTGCTTTGTTGTTTAGGTACTAAGTTACTGTCCGAAAGATATGATGGCTGACATCTGTGTTCACCTAAACCGAAAAGTGTTCAACGAACACCCAGCTTTCCGGTTGGCGAGTGATGGATGTCTACGGGCTCTTGCCATGTATTTCAGCATGGACCACAGTGCTCCTGGCGACCTGTTGTACCACACTGGAGAAAGCATTGACACACTATGTTTCGTAGTGGCTGGATCACTCGAGGTTATTCAAGATGACGAAGTAGTTGCCATTTTAGGTAAGTCCATTATTTCTGTAGAATTATCTAATAACATTTTGTTTGTTGCAGTATGTTTGCGGATTTACAACGCTAGAAAGCGGGATTCGATACCCGTGGTAGATAGCCCTTTGTGTAGCTTTGTGCTTAACTTCAAACAAACATTGTCTTGGTGTTCTGCGCAAAGCTGTCCAAGAGCTAACTAAGCATTTGAAACTAACAGACTGATGTCACCCACCATCAATTCTTGGCCTACTCTTGTCTCATCGAATAGTGGGGTTTGACTGTCACTCTTACAGTGCATACACGGCGCCAAATAGCAGACTGAATTTCTGCGGCAGCGAGTGGCGAACCATGAATACAATCTGGCACTTTCACCACTAGGCCACGCTCCTGTATCTCATAAAATGATAGGTATTTTAACCATAAAGTTTTTTCAAAATGTTAATGAATTTTTTTACATTACATATCTTTTATGTAACAAAACTCTGATGAAAGACACCAATACTGTATATACACTGGTCGGATTAATTTTAAATTAACGAAACAGATTTAACAGAACAAAGTGGATTGAAGTAAAATATGATTCAACCCAAGAGTGCCTATTCTTCACAAATATATACACTGGTCGGATTAGTTTTAGATTAACGAAACAGATTTAACAGAACAAAGTGGATTGAAGTAAAATATGATTCAACCCAAGAGTGCCTATTCTTCACAAATATATACACTGGTCGGATTAGTTTTAGATTAACGAAACAGACTTAACAGAACAAAGTGGATTGAAGTAAAACATGATTCAACCCAAGAGTGCCTATTCTTCACAAAAAATGAATGAAAGGACTCCAGTAGAGTTGATAAACGATGAAAGATTAAATCGTCATTACGTGTAAGCCATGCTCATCTATAAGATATATCTATAAGTGATATAATACATGCTGTTGTTATTTAAAATGTGTAATGTCACCTGAATTGAATAATCAATGTGTCTGTGTCAAGTTGCTTAACGTTCTCACGCCAATAAAATTGTTATATGATTTAAACGAACCATATAGAACTGAAAACGAGAAAATAACGTTAATTACGATAGTCTCATGACACGTTGTTAAATTGCAATCCCTGAAACAGTATCAACTTACAATCCCCTGAGACATTGCTACATTATAATACCTTAGATTGTATTAACTCCAAATCATGGTCACACTGACTAGTCAACATGTTTTAAACAGAGAACTAGTTTATTTTGTGTTGACATAGTAGAAAAGTATTCTTGTAACTAATAAACTCAAATAAATGAAAATCTGATAGTGGACATCTGATATTCATCTAAATCTAAAGACAGTGTGGTCTAAGTGACTAGTAAATAAAAAAATGCCAATTATTTAGTTTCGCATTTATAATACGTTCTAACCTACGTGATCATTTTGTGCAAGGGATTAAAATAGTTATTTTGTAATGTAAAAGTTTTACTGATTAGAGATTATCCAGTCTGTTTATACACTAGGCTAAAATATATTCCGGATTAATACGCCTGTAACAGGGGTGTAAAAATCCACTAATAGCATTCAGAAATTGAATGCTAGCATGACAAAATGTGGCCTGATAAAGGTGAATATCAAAAATATCATTACGTTGGAGATACCCAACACTGCACACTTATTTCTGTAATTAATTCATGTTTATACTACTAGTGGTAACTTGTAAGACGTACAGAAAATAAGTTACATTTATCATGAAATACACGATAAGTACTTACTAAACCATGCGACTTATTTTTGCGTTTTGAAAAGTAGTGGAGCAGTGATTGGTGGTACAGTGATATATATAATTGATTATATCAACTTAATTAACAATATTCTCTTCCAAAATAATATTCGATTTCGTTACGCATGGGAACGAAACCACATTTAATCAACAAATGTTTTTGTTGGTTAATCTATTATTTAACAAGTCTGTGTGTGAGTCCGCTTACAACTGGCGAACAGCTGGATCTTGTCACAAAATTTGGCATGCACTCTTGGGGCTTCTGGGTAGTGAAATAGTGAGTTGGCATTCGGATCTGATCACCTTTGTCACGCAATGGGGGACATCTATGCTTTCTATGTGGGTTGGACAGATGTAATTTTTCCGTTTAGCTTGGAGAAAGATAAAAAAAAAATCATTTCCAAATAAAAAGCTGATATTTTAGTATACAGTGTTGACACCGAAGTTCTAAGACACAAACCTCTTGATTTCTGCTCATATCATATTCTTCACTGTACTCAGATGTTGTTTACGGCTCTGGACACGACTTTAATTGAGTATAAAGCGTAATTTTATCATATTCAATTGTGATTCAATACCTATCTTATTGATAAAGGTCCTAAAATTTCTTTTTAAATTTAATTAACAAGTTACTGTATATACTTCTTCCTGCACGACTTATTATCGAAACCAAATCTATACGTTTAAATCCATTATTATCTAACGTTGTTACTAGTCAGTAGCGAAACGTGTGAGATGTTAGGGAAAGTAGTGTTTTGATAATATTAAACCAGTTTTTAATACACTAAATCTTATTTGTAATTGTTAATTACCACATTCTAGATTAATTTATTCCGCTATATAAGATCATCATCGACTCAAGTATAACAAGTCCTATATTATTGAAAATTATTAGAAAAAACAACAACAGATTTATGTTTTATTGGTCAAACTTCGTGAAATCTTAAACATTCTAATAATATCTGTGAACAGCCAGATTGGTAACTAATCATAACAGAGTCTAAAGTAATAACAGAATCAAATGTTCTACAACTCGTGTCGATATCTAATTATTCCAGAATTATCCTGTATAATGTATTTTGAAAATTCTAATAAGTAAATTTGCATGAGAGCTTCAAAATATGGCAACTTTCTAATGAATGTGAAATAAACTGTTATACTGTGATAAAAGAATTTCGATCGTTCGTGTAAATCTACTGAAGATGATTTCCGTATATTATTGACGTAAAGCTTCATTATTTGCAGATTAAAACTTCTTTGGAACCAACTGTTTGATCTCGTTCAGTTGAAAAACGTTCAGCAAAAACGCGAGTCTCAACAATTTAACTTTCCCTGACTCAGGAATTTTAACCTTGCAAATTATTGTTGAAGTGACGTGAGCTGAAGTCATTGGATTTACTTGTGAAACGTCTCTCAATTCATGATCATGTAGATAAATATTTTACTTCTTAAGTTGTTCAAAGAGTTTTCTATTCTCTTAACTCTAGTGACCTGTAAAGACCAAAAATAATAACTATTTTAAGATATATCTCATTAAAAAATAGTACTCGGTTTACGTTTGCATATTTTGTATAAAAAAACTGCAAGCGACGTTAATCAAATCAAACACATTTTGATTTTAATATGAATATAATAACAAGGAAAGTTTATAAGATTAAAAAAAGATATCCGAACAATTACTGTTTTTTTAATTTTCAGTGCTGACTGAAGGATAAAAACCATTATTTAATGAAGACGACAAACAACTTCAGAAAAATGTTTAATTACTTGTACTCAATGTTTCGGCTTACGCCTTTATCAAGGGTCTATGAAACATAGACGTTCATAGACCCTTGATAAAGGCGTAAGCCGAAACGTCGGTTACAAGTAATTAAACATTTTTCTTAAGTTGTTTGTCGTTTTAATTAACTAATATCAGAACAATTGTTTAGTTAATGGAAGTGGAACAAGCACGCACACAGATATATATATTTATATGTGTGTGTGAATGCAGTTAAAGTCAATAATGTCTACTAAGAAAGACTTACCTTAATTTTAATTTTAAAAGTACCTGTTTTCGTGTGTAATAAGGAAACTTAACTAACAAGCTAAGTTAATCAAATCCCTTGTAAATGTCGGTAAATTTCTGAACTTGTGACGTGATGTTGCACTGATAAAGTTCAATAAACAGGGGTTTGAATCAATTTGCAGTTGTAGAATTTCTGCCGCTACAATAAAACCATATTAATGACAAAAAAATCAAAGAATTTATCAGTATTAGAACAAAACACTACACGGTCTTCACAGTCTATTAGTATTTGATTGCTATTTATACGGTTTTATGTGTATATAAATATATATATATATGTGCTGAAAAGTAGAAGAACGCTCTGTAGAGTGAAGGCTTTGGTTCTGTAATGAAAGAGTAAATATTCATTACAAAAAAAAATAAAATGAACTTGGCGCGTTTTTTTTTAAACCATTTATCCGGACCTTTTAGTCCTTGAGCTTCATGTTTATATGGCGATTTTATTTCCTGACTTGAATACGTGTAGTTACTATAAAAATAAACTAGTTATTACAATATAGTCGTTTTACTTTTACAAGACAATGAATTTTAAAAACTCACAATTTAAAAAAAAACGATTATTTTATACACAATTCTATAAAAATAAGATTGTTTCCAGTCTCCAAATTACTAAAATACAATAACTTACTGTACAGGATATAAAGTGGTAAAGTAAGTTATTGTATTTTAGTAATTTGGAGACTTGAAACAATCTCATTTTTATAGAATTCTGTATAAAGTAATCGTTAAAATTTTTGAGTTTTGAAGATTGGGCATTACACACGTTCCAAAAATTTAAAAAAGACAATGATTTGTTTAAATAGAATTGGTGTATAACGATCATCAATGATCACTTCAAAGATTTGTTTGTAACAGATCAATAAATAATACGCTTAACTACGAATCTGCATTATATACATGCGATTTGGAAGTATTTGTTGTCGATACGCAAAATCAAAATAATGCATACTAACTTCATCTTAACAATTAGGTGTTTGTCTGTGTTGTACTGAGGTTTAATCGTATTTTACAAGAATGATGTTCCAAGTCACACATGAAAGTATTTGATTGTACTCAGTCTGATGGCCATATAACTATGCACTATTCCAGACACTCAGCAATATTCATTGAAGTAAAATTTTGGAAAGGGTGGTCAGGTCAACCTTAGACCATAAATTATGACAACATTACCACAGACCCTCCAATGTAT